TAGTTGATGCTGCCTTGGAGGAGGTTAATGGACCTCTTGATATCCCTTTCATCCTATTTTCTATGATTCTGCATAATGCACCTTGCATTTGGAGCTAAAAATTGAGAGGCTTGTAATACTCCTAGTTCCTGAGGGAGTTCATGTCACAGCCTCAAAATGGCCCCTAACAAAGGTCTACTTTCCATGTAGATGTGGCCATATTCTCTTATACCTTAGTGTAAAAAGTGTTAATGTGCCAGAGGAGCTGTCAATCCCAAAATTCAACTGCAAGCTTTAGGTCACTTTTTAAATATCCTGGGCATTAAAAATAAGGGCTAAATTCTTGAATTTCATTCAGTATTTTATGGGCAGCCAATGTACAAGGTGGAAGACAAGTCTGATGAGCTCACAGTAATGCAGGCTGCTGCACCATTCTGTACTAGCTGGAGATTCCTATACACAGGTCTTCATACCCACACGTTGCATTGCTGTAGTCCAGGAAAGAGGTAACAAAGATGTAAATAAACAAGGCCAAGATCACAGGATGGAATGGAATTTCCTAACCAGCTGTAGATGACAGAAAGTATTATTTGTGAATATTGCTATGTGAGAGCAATTGCGCATTTCAAAATCTTAAATGTATTGATCTTCAGAAGTTTAGGTTGTAGCCGTGTTGGTCTAAGGACATAGGCAGACAAGGTTCCTTGGGTGAATTTGATATTTTTTATTAGACCAACCCAAATGGTTGGAGAATAGTTATTAAGCAAGCTTTTGGGTTCAAAAACCCTTCCTCAGGCAAAGGAAGCTTCAGCAGTTGGTGTGTGCTCTTCCTGGATGGAATGAAAAGTCATCTGCATTCCATCCAGGAAGAGCACACACCAACTGCTGAAGCTTCCTTAGCCTGACGAAGGGTTTTTGAACCCGAAAGCTTGCTTAATAACTATTCTCCAACCATTTGGGTTGGTCTAATAAAAAATATCAAATTCACCCAAGGAACCTTGTCTGCCTTGATCTTCAGAATGTCTCTGTGAAAAAGGAAAGCATAATAATTCCCATTTAACTGGATGGACACTGAGAGACAGAAAGGCTTATGCATCTAGTGTTACACTTGATATTTGTGGCAGAACAGGAGATTAATTGGATGTCAAACATCCTAGACTGGCATGCAAAGCACTGGCCCATGCTTTTCACAGAAGTCCAAGTGTACTCCTAATCAGGGTACGAATTAAGGGGGAACTTGGGGTGGCTGAGCCGCCCCATAAGAAATGAGAGCCCCGCTGTAAGATTTGAAAATCATAACCTGGGGGGGGTCTCTGATCCGATTGCTTCTTCACTTAGGCGGACTTGTTAATCAGTGAACCAGTTTAATTTTCTTTTGCAGACCCCCAAGATTCATAGATTCATAGATGTTAGGGTCGGAAGGGACCTCAATAGATCAAGTCCGACCCCCTGCATAGGCAGGAAAGAGGGCTGGGTCTAGATGACCCCAGCTTGATGCCTATCTAACCTCCTCTTGAAGACCCCGGTAGGGGAGAGTACCACCTCCCTTGGGAGCCCGTTCCAGACCTTGGCCACTCTAACTGTGAAGAAGTTCTTCCTAATGTCCAATCTAAATCTGCTCTCTGCTAGCTTGTGGCCATTATTTCTTGTAACCCCCGGGGGGGGCCTTGGTGAATAAAACCTCACCAATTGCCTCTCAACCTTCTCTTGTGGAGGCTGAAGAGGTCCAGGTCCCCCAGTCTCTCCTCATAGGGCTTGGTCTGCAAGCCCTTAACCATACGAGTGGCCCTTCTCTGGACCCTCTCCAGGTTATCTGCATCCCTCTTGAAGTGCAGTGCCCAGAATTGCATGCAGTACTCCAACTGCGGTCTGACCAGCGCCCGATAGAGGGGAAGTATCACCTCCTTGGACCTATTCGTCATGCATCTGCTGATGCAAGATAAAGTGCCATTGGCTTTTCTGATGGCTTCGTCACACTGCCGACTCATGTTCATCTTAGAGTCCACTAGGACTCCAAGATCCCTTTCCACTTCCGTGCCACCCAGCAGGTCATTCCCTAGGCTGTAGGTGTGCCGGAAATTTTTCCTCCCTAGGTGCAGTACTTTGCATTTCTCCTTGTTGAACTGCATTCTGGAAGGAAGGAAGGCTCCTTCCCTGCTGTCCTCTAACGGGGCCTGCACAGCTCAGCGTGTGTGACCCGGAGTGGCAGGGAAGAATGGGGCCATGTAGGGATCTCCTTGCCTCTGCGCACTGCCCTGGCCATGTGTCTTCCATGTATGGGGACAGTAAGAGAAGTGGCACAGGGTTGTGCCACTCACTGCAGGGCCACACAGAGCTCACAGGAGGCCTCAGGGGAGGGCAGCAGGGCAGGAGCCCGCAGTGGGCCTGCGCTGCGCACAGATCTGGGGGGCATGGGTTCCCCGTGCCCTGGCACTGTCCTGGCAATGCATCCTCCACACACGGGACTGCAGTGAGTGGCACACTCCCGCACTACTTTCCCTGCTCCCCCTGTATGTGAAGAATGTGTGGCCGGGCAGTGCGGAACTCACAGCACCAAGGGGATCCCTGTGTATCTCCGCTGATCCCTGCCACTCAGGGTTGCACTTGCCGGACTTCGGAGACCCCAGGGGAGAGCAGCAGGGTGGGAGCCCGAACCTGCAGCAGGCAGCCTGTGCCCCC